TCATTCAGGAATTGTCCCAGTAGGGCTAGAACGGTCAGCTACCCTGCTTACTGCGCTCCCCTATCACTGCGCAGACAGCGTCACGGCACTAATGAACAAAGTCCTGTCACCCCCACAGATTGGTATAACGATGACAGGCATGTGACAGCTCTCAAGAGGACTCACTTTTTCTCCCGTAGATGCCGGAGTCGGTGGAACACATTGATGACATCCCTGATTCGTCTCGGAGCCTCTTCTATTTTGGAAGCCAGGTGAACACAAGCCATGGACACATGCTGAAATGTACATTGGGATACAGGTGTTTTCCCCCAACCTGAAGACTTTCCAGGGCCTTAAAAACTATTAGGAGCAAACAGAAGATACAGAGACAGGCCTCCAGAGACAGAACTGCACACTCTGTGGAGGACTGAACTCAGTTCACTACATAAAGGGCAGAACAAGCCAGGTTTCCTCCCAATTCATTTGTCTGATAAAACAGAAAGTCGCCTACCTCCATGGAATGTTTCACGAAGGACTTGGTGTAGAAGAACCGCTGGAACAACACCTGCCCTGTAGCCATGGCCACCTAGGGACGGAGAAGATTCCATCACTTTTGAAAGCAGAACTCAAACCTGCCCCGGCTGAAATGTCATGTGTGGTCAGTCCCCTCAGGACAAACACCCACGACAGTTTCCATTTCCCCAAAGAATTTCTGTTTTGCGGGGCTGTCCCGGGGTTTGTAAAAGGGCCCTTGCCCGAGGGGGGTGGCGGGAGAGAAGTCCGGGAGCGGGCCCCACTCCAAGGCGGTCAGCGGTCGGGTGTGAAGCACGGACTCAGGAGGCTGTGCCAAGGCTGGGCTGCGGGCCGGGCCCTGACCTCGGTCGGGCTGGTCCGGGGATGCGGGCCAAGCCAACAACAAAGGCCTGGCACCGTCGGCAGGCCGGCGGCCGGTTACCTACAAATACAAAGTTCGAGGCCGCGCCCTTACCTGCGGCAGGCGGAGCAGGATGCCGGCTGCCTGGATGAGCTCGCAGCCCACCACGCGGAGCCCGGTCTCTGTGTCGATGTCGAGACCGCTCGACATGGACGGCGTGAAGCGCAGCTTGTCGTCGGGCAGCAAGCAGTTCTCCAAGGTGATGAGCACGCCTGAGTACAGCCTGTCACCGATCAGCACCCCCTGGGACCCTGGGGCGGCTGCCCCCGAGCCGGAAGAGCCGGCCGCCAACGCAGGGGCCGCCAGCACCGAAGCCCCGGCCGCCGCCGCCGCCATTTTGTGCCGCCGATTCTTTCTCGGGCCTTTCCCGGAGGGCGGCTCCTCGCGACGGTCACAGCCGCCCCGCCCCGCCCCGCCCCCGCCCATTGGCTGCACGTCACCGCCGCCGCTACCCCATTGGCCGTACGACCTGTTCTTCTGTATCGCGTCAGCCGCTGACGCCGGAAGTGGCCACGGGTGGGGCCGCTCGTTACCCACTTGGCTCCGCGGCCGGGCCAGAATCGGAAGCGGCCAGTCCGGAAGAGAGTGAAGCGCTCCTGCCTCGGAACCCTTCCGTAGGAGGGAGTCTTCCCGTGGGTAAAGCGACAGGGAGGCTTCTTCCCCAGAGTCTCACGCGCGATTTAGTCCAGGAGCCTTAGTTCTCAACCCCTCCTGCTGTCCTCTGGCTCTGCTACAGCGATGGGGTGGATCTGTCAGCTTTAAAAGTGCAGGTCAAGAGCACCGGGTCCGCAGTTCAGTTCCCAGCAACCACATAGCGGCTCGCAACCATCTGATGCCCTCTTCTGTCGTGCAAGCATAGGGTGCAAACACCACTCATATACATCAGCAAATACATCCTTGTTTTAAAGCACAGGTTAATAAAGAGAACTGGCAATGTCAGGTTTCATCGCTCTGTCAATCTTTCTTTCTTTTGTTTTTTTGGCCACGAATTCAGAGATCTGTCTCCCTAGTACTGGGATCAAAGGCGTGCGCCACCAATGCCTGCAACTCTGTCAATTTCTTGTGGCGGGTACAGACCAAGAATGGCCAGAGACTTTGAAGGTCGACAGGAAAAGGCTTGGAGTTGACTCCATTCCGGAGCTGCCTAGTTTCACCCAAAACTGTGCAGTACTGCTCAGCTATCTCAAGCTTTCACCAAGACTGCAGCTTCAGTGAGGGGAAATTGGGAGGACACTGGAGGGTAAGGATATGCCTGGATAGGTCCGATTGAGGTTATTTTGAGCTTCGAACAAGGCTGCTAATAGTCACCATTCCATAGTTCAGCTGTAGTAAGTTAGTTTGATTCCATAGCCTAAGCAGATCCAACCAAGACCACGTCTCCTGTCCTCCACCGGTATTGGTCACAATGTTCATGTCCACCCATCTCTATCCCTAGACTGCAACTCCAAAGGGGCTACAAGAGTCCAAGGCTGTCACTGCCTGGCTGCTTGCTCATTCCCTGAACTAAAGGATTGGAAGAGATTGTTGGCTATAGTTACTCAAGCCCAACTCTGGTACTGGTGATGAATGTTAACACCCAACAGGAAGAGAAACTTAGGCTGGATATGGATGCCGGGTACAACTCACAATGGTTTGCAGCATCTCTTGTCTTTATTAAGTACAAAACAAAGTTCAGTGATGGGGTCAAAAGGTCTGTAACTTCCACTCCATCTGTTCAATAACCATTAGCTAATGAATAATACGTATTGAACACACAGGCAAAGTGGTGACAGTATTGTAAACAAGACACAAGTACTCAGTGCAGTGACCTTTAGGCTGATAACAAAAAGAAAAAAAAAATCAAAGGGGTCTTGTAGTAATCTTCAGTAATGGAAGCCAAAATTAAGCTGGCCTACAGTGATGTTAGAGAATAGAGGGCAGATCCAAGTAAATTTTTTTAAATACAGATTTTATTTCATTTTCTTTTATGTGCATTGGTACTTGTCTGCATTCATATGTGTATGAGAGTGTCGAATACCCTGGAACTGTAGTTACAGATAATTGTGAGTGCCATGTGGGTGCTGAGAATTGAACCAGGGTTCTCTGGAAGAGCAGCCAGTGCTCTTAACCATTGGGCCATCCCTCCAGCCCCCAACCCAAGTGATCTGTAGGAATTGGGAATACAGCTGAGTTGATAGAATGCTTGCCTAGCATTCATGAAGCCCTGGGCTCAAAACCCTGTATCCCAGAAATTAGACGTGGTGTTGCACACTTATAACCCCAGCACTTGGGAGGCAGAGGCAGATTAGGAATTCAGAGTCACCCTTCCTACTTCAAGCCTAGCCTGAGCTACATAAAACTGTCAACACCAGAATGTAAGAGGCAGATGGTCAGGACTTGATTAGTTATGTATGGTGCTAGAAGAAAGCATTGAGTTCAGGGGAAGAGCTCAGAATGAGTCCCAAGCAACTGGTGGCATAAGATGAAAGATGGTATCACCAGAGCACAGTGTGGTTCTAACTGGAGAAGAAGGAGACAGGTCCTATGGGTTCTCCTATAGCAAGGGGGGGGGGGGCAATAAAACTAAATTGGGCCTTTCCTACAGAAACACTGCTAGCTATTATATAACACTTTCCCCTGAGATAAACATTTCATCATCAGGAGGAGGCTAGTGAAGACAAAGACTATTCTTAAAGGAAGTAAAACATCCCATCCTCCAGGGTAAGCTCTTTAAGACACATGTAGCCAGGCCTAGTAGCTACTTGATTATAATCCCAAACTCAGGAGACAGACTTCTTGAGTTTGAGGGAAGCCTGAGCCTGGTCTACAAAGTGAGTTCCAGGACAGCTAGGGCTATTTAGAGAGATACTATTTAAGAGGGGAAAAAAAAAAAAAAAAAAAAAAAAAAAAAAAAAAAGTAACAAAATTAGCTTCAAGATGTCCCTGAAACTGACCAAATTCATTAGGTCCCTTTCCCAAACATGGCATATCATCAGCTATAAGGACTACTGAGAGGCTATCCGATAAGCCAAGTTGCTTGGAAAAAGACACTCTCCAGCTTGTGGAATTGCCCGTAAGCAGTGCAGTCCACTCTAGTTTTCATAAGCCATTACTCATGCAGTGGTGGCTTTTGGTGTTACAGCTCTGAGTCATTTCTGCTCCCATAAGTAACCCCAATTGGACTTTGATAGTACTTTACTTTGGCCAGTCAATGGTTCTCTATCTGGGGTGAATACCCTTCCGCCCACATCTCAGGAACAGTGTCATACAATACTGTCACCACAAAGCAGACTAGAAAAATGGCCCGTCAAGATTATGGAATAACAGAGAAGAAAGTAAATCAAAGAAAGGAGTCATTCATTGTCAGGCTCTGCTGGGTTTTGTTTCCAGGAAATGGCTTTGGCGAAATCAAATGTAGACCCAATCATGGGAGGCAAGTAGTGGATACCAGAATGAAGGTAAGGGAGTGCAAGCTACAGAACTAGATAGAGGCATGGAAATAAGGTGTTTTAATGGAGATGCCAGTCTTTGAGTGAGCCAGGATGCTAAGAGGACCAGGGATGGGCCTAGCCTGAAAACAAAACATTATCCACTGCAGGAGGAAGAGTGAAAGTCTCCATTATACAGCATTAATAAAGCCGCTGAGGTGCTGCGATGAATGAACTTTCCAGAATATACTCCTGAACCTTACAACCTTACAGAGCAGTCTTCTTAAAAGGCCCAGATAGATGATGTAAATTTCAAAGCTGACTCACCCTTTCAGACTAAGACCAAGAGCCCCACATATTCCCCTGATCTGTACCCAACTGGGAACATGGAAAGAGACAGGGAAACAGGCTAGTGGCTCAACAGCTGAACCACTGGGCACATGCTATACATAATGAAAAGACCAAACGAGAGGCTAATATCAATCCTGTTAAATAAGCGACCAGAAAACTGGGGGTGAGGGTGTCACTTCAGAAGCCTGGTGTAGGGAAAAGCAGCATGCAATCCTATCCCCATTTAACAGCCTCTCCCATAACAGTCAATGATAACAAGTACATGGGCATTTCAGAGGGTTTATACATCTAAAGGTGTGCTTGCCTGATGCCAGAAAAAAATTCACAAATTGAACACTGCAAAGGCTTTTATTTGTACAATCTTTACAGGGCAGTTTTGGGGCTGAATGAAAACCTTTTCTCTGGGGCCTGTTGCAAAAATGTAAATAAATACAAGTCAGACTTACTGGTGACTAGACAGTCCTTTTGCTCCTGTCTTGTTTATAACAATCCCCACAGCACTGCAGCCTTCACCGGTATTGCACCACTCTGGAAAAGATGCCCTCAGGCTCCTTTCCATCCCCCAAAGCTGCAGCAAATCCTTCTTGCTGCCTCCTCTTTGCCAAAGCTGCCAAAGATTTAAAAGTCTTTGGTTCATAGATGGCCAGGTCCACAAGTACTTTCCTGTTGAGCTCCACCTGGCTCTGGGAAGACAAAGAACCACAGCCTATAGTAAGAATCAGAAACCACTTGAGAAAGCTAGGTGTGGTGGTACACACCTTTAATTCCAGCACAGGCAGGGAGAGGTCTGTGAATTCCAGGTCAGCCAAAGACTATATAATGAGACCCTATCAAAAAACAATAAACAAGAAAAATTACTTCAGTAGAATATAAGAGATCCTGTGTGGAAATAAGACAGGATGTAGCTACAAGACCTCTAGTGCGTCCTGAGCAGCCAGCACCAGTCTATTGGTACGGAACAGTGGGGAACTGTGGGATAGGCTTAGCAGGAACATATTGCCTGGAGAATGAAGCAGGACACTGAAGGATAAATTGGGTGGGGACAAGGAAGGGTACCTATAGAGGCCTCAACATGGAAGAGCCAACTGAGACCAGGACCCATGGTTAGGGTCAGTGATCACTTGAGCACTAAGACTCTTGACCTGGGCTAATCCTTTATTGCAATTCAGAGACATACAAGCTCATTTAGACCACAGGGCTGGCAGAAGCTGGCTGGGAGTGTAACTGAGTGGCAGAGTCCCTGGATTCCCTCCCCAGCAGTGGTGATAAAAGTAACAGGTGTTTTCAGAAAGCAGGTAACTTTCAGCAGGAGCCAAGAAATGTACTAAACATTGCTATTAAGCACCAGTAGATCCTATTTTTTTTTTTTTTTTTTTTTTTTTTTTTTTGGGTTTTTCAAGACATGGTTTCTCTGTATTGTTTTGGAGCCTATCCTGGAACTTGCTCTGTAGATCAGGCTGTTCTCAAACTCACAGAGATCCGCCTGCCTCTGCCTCCATAGTGCTGGGATTAAAGAAAGGTGTGCACCACCAACAACCAGACTCTTTTTTTTTTTTTTTTTTTTTTTGAGTCAAAAATCTATTATGTACCTTTGTCTCCTGGAACATATTATGTAAACCAGGCTGGCCTCAAACTCAGAGACTCACCTGTTGACCTCCTCTCCGCCATCCCTTGTGTTTGGACTAAAGGTATGTACCTCTACACCCTGCAAACCTGTGACTTTAACTCTGCTTCCTCAGCTTCAGGCCTGTCAGTAAAATGGGGGCTATAGCACCACTTCAGCTCACCCAGAGGACCCTGAGCACAAGGACAATGTCTTCCATAAGGCAGAAGCAGAATATCTACTCTTTTAAAAGGAAAACTGTAGGGGGCTGGAGAGATTGCAGAAGTTAAGAGCACTTACCCCTCTTCCACAAGACCTAGATTTAATTCCCAGTACCTACAGGGCAGGTTATAATCATCTATAACTTGGGGATCCAATGCCCTCTTCTGGCATCCAAGGACACCAGGCACAGATGTAGTACACAGACATACATGCAGGCAAAATAACTTCTGTACATAACATTAAAGACAAAACAAAACTCAAACTCTAAAGTTAGTTTTCTACCTTCTTCCTTTCATCCAAATTGGCAACTGTTGCAGGATATTTGATCACACTGAGTGAAGATGTCTCTGTCCTTCCTGCTTGCCTAAGACACCTTTTGATTGATTTAATAAAGAGCTGAATAGCCAATAGCTAGGCAGGAGAGAATAGGCAGGACTTCCAGGCAGAGATAGGAACTCTAGGAAGAGATGTGGAGGAAATAGGAAGTATATATGGAGGAGAGGTAATAAGGCATGTGGCAGAATGTAGATTAATATACAGGTTAATTTAAGTTTTAACAGCTAATTGGGAATAAGCCTAAGCTAATGCCAAGCTTTCATAACTAATAAAAAGTCTCACCAGGTGATGGTAGAGCATGCTTTTAGTCCCAGCACTCTGGAGGCAGAGACAGGTAGATTTCTGTAAGTTTGAGGCCAGACTGTTCTAAGACAGCCAGGACTGTTACAGAGAAACCCTGTCTCAAAAAACAACAAAAAAGTTCTGTGCCATTACTTGGGAGCCGGCAGCCGCCACCTACATTGGATACCAAAATCTTTTTCCATCAGCACAATGGCTCAACAGCTACACCCGAATCTACTGCTGTTTCAGTCGGTGACTGCAGCTCCACTGTCCTGTCCTGCTTTTTCAGGCAGTGGCCTGGTGGGATTTTTATGTCCTGATGAATTCACCTGCTGCTGCTACCAAATGTAGTTTTAAACTAAATCTCTATTGTTCTATTTATCAATAAGATTCGTAAGTCAGAGGCTGGTATGAAAACCTGCTAGCTCAGAAAGGTCAAGAAACAACTAGTTGACTTTCCAGCATCTCAGAAATAAGAGCATCCTTCCATTTTACCAAAACAAAACAAACAAAAAACAAAAACAAAAAAAACCTGCCACACTCAAAGTCCTGCTCTGCTACTTCCTGTGGGCCTCTCTACCATTTTCCAGACTCACTCTGATTCTCTGATTACTTTCTGTCAACCAGCTGCTGGCTCTGCCTGCTGACCCAAGGTTGATTTTACTTAATTAATTAATGCAAACACAAACTCAGGGTTCACAGTGTGATCAACTATTCTGACAGGCATGTATGAAATGTTCTATTTACAATGTGCTGAATTCTCAGCAAGGCAAGGGAAAAAAAGCAGGTAGGTTTGCAGAAGTCCATATAGACAACAGAAAGCAGTTTAAGGTGTAGACCCAGCAACACTCATGTCTACCCATGGGCTACTACCAGGCTGGCTTATATCTGAAGGCATGATTCCTTTAGATACTCAACACCTGGATAAGGCCTTCAACTTACCTTAATTAAGTTGGCAATGAATGCTGGGTACTGTAAACCATGTTCCTGGGAGGCAGCTGTAATCCGATTAATCCAGAGCTAGAATTAAAATAGATGTTTGATATCGATTTATTTCTTTTTTTGAAACAAGGTCTCACTATGTAGCTTTGACTATCTTGAAACTCACTGTGTAAACCAGGTTGCCCTCAAAGTCACAGAAATCTGCCTGTCTCTGCCTCCCCTCCCCCACCCCCAGGTCCTGTACCACTACACCCTGCTTCCATGTTGTGTCCATATCTTATTTCTAGCAAATGTTCTGACTAAACTAAAAATTGCTTGTAAATATTTGTAGATGTTTTTCTTCTCAGGCAAACAGGCTTTTAGGACAAAGCCCCACTCTGAATCATAGGCAGGCAATACTCCATAGGATCAGGAGTTAGAGCCAGCCTAGGTTACACTTTGAGACAATATCTCAAAAAAGCAGTGTACATAGACAGCCATGGTGGTATAAGCCTTTATTCCCAGCACTCAGAAGGCAGAGCCTGACAGATCCCTCAGAGATAAGAGGCCAGCCCCGTCTACATAGCAAGTTCCAGGACAACCAGAGCTATGCAGTGAGACCCTGTCTCAACAAAACAAATGTTACCAAAAGGGTATAAACCTTTAATCCCAGCATTCAGGGGGCAGAGGCACAGGCTTTAAGTTCGAGGCCAGCATGGGCTTCAGATGGAGTTCCAGGACACCCAGGGTTACATAGAAAAACCCTGTCTTGGGAAAAGAAAAAGTAAAGCAAAAATTTCCTTTAAAAATGACAAGCAGGGCTGCAGAGATGTCTCCAAGGTTAGGAGCACTGGCTGCTCTTCCAGAGGTCCTGAGTTCAATTCCCGGAAACCACATGGTAGCTCACAACCTTTGAATCTGGTGCCTCTGCTGGCCTGTAGGCAGAAGACTGTATACATAATAAATAAATAAAATCTTTTAAAAAAAAAAAAAAAAAAGACAAGCAAGTAGTTAGGGAGGCAAAGCCAGGAGCAACAACTCAAGTTTGAGGCCAGCCTGGTCTATACAGTGAGTTTCAAGATAGGTAGGACTATATGGCAAGACTCTGTGTCAAAAACCAAACTAAACCAAACCAAACAGGGAAGTTAGTGCTCTGTGACACATGATTTCCCTGGAGCTTGCATGCTAAGCACCAATTAGAGACCTCAAAAAAAAAAAAAAAAAGAGGCAGCTGGCTTCTGAAGAATGGCACTTTGACACTTGAGGTTGACCTCTATGTACCACATGTGTGCATACAACTTACAACTGGCTGGGGATATAGCTCAGAAATTCCAAGGCCCCAGAGATGGCTAATATTGCCAGACAATCCTGATGACCTGAGCTCAGACCCTGGAACTCCAGTAAAAAAGCTGGATCTAGTGGCATACATCTATAATCCTAGCACTCCAATGGTTAAGTCATAAATTCATAGGCCTGCTAGCTTAAGAGTACAGGGTACAACAGAAACAGCAAGGCAGATCCTGCCTCAACAAGGTGGAAGGCAAGAACAGACTCCCGACAGTTACCCTCTCTCTAACTGCCACATCCGTGCATATGCATGAGCATATGCAGAGAACCCATGCCTAGCATGCTCAAGGCCCTCGGTTCATTCCGTCCCAAGTACTGCCTTCCTCTCCCTCAAAAAAGACAAGCAAGAACTCGCTGCAAACAAAAACTGAGACTCTGTGGCAGACACAGGAACATAGTAAACTCTGTGAAGGGAGAGGATCCTTGAAGGATCTGGCTGACTGGATTAGTAGGGTCTGTGCCAGGCACAGACAAATACCTTAACACCTATCTGGAAAGACACAAGAATCTAGTAAAAGTATGAATCAAAGACCCTGGCCAAGGAATGGTAGGTTTCCTCAGTATAACAGGAGTGTGCTTCTGTTCTTACACATTAGATATCAATTGGTTTGGCTTTTTGTTTTGTTTCGTTTTTTTGTTTGTTTTGCAGGGTGAGAACATTTTAAGCATTTTTTTTTTTTTTTCCAAAAGTTCTCAAGTTTGAACTTCATCATCAGACTCCTGGAAGTTTGTTAACACCAGCTGTTAGGCCCTTCTTCCCATGTTTGATTCAGCAGGTTCAAAGTAGGACCTTGAAAGTGTGCATTTCTAACAAATCCCAGGGTGACAAGGACTGTCCCAGGCCGGGAGACCCTCCACCGTGGCAGCAAATGCTCACTTTTCCTATTATAACTGGACACTCCCACGTGTTCACAACACTGCGACACACCTGGACCTGAACAAATAAATACCAGGTCTTGGGGGGGGGGGCAACGCCACCCTTCCCCAAAGCCTGGTACACCTGAGAGCAGAACAGGAACCCAAATCAACACTGTCCAGAATGTGAACACACTCACCATGATATATCCACACTGAGGTTAGGGGGTCCTTTAATTTGTTTATATACCATGATGCCATGTGCCAGATCCCCTGCAGCTGTTAAGCATGGGCAGTCGTGAGCTGCCGGATGTGGATGCTCTGAACAGAAATCAGATGACAACTGCAGCCATCTCTCCAGCCTTTGGCAAGCATTTCCTCACTCTCGAGGTCAGAAACACCTTTCATTGGCCCTGCTGACTTAGCTCACAAGTACTTATAAGAGCTACAACCCAGGCCCCAAGTACAGCTCTCAAACAGAAAAAAGAAAACACCTCTGAAGGGACTCTAGTAGGCCTGAGTGTGACAAACATGGTCCTGGCAAGCCTTGCCCGTCCACTACCCGATTTTCCTGGCTGAAAACAGATTTCATTCCTAAAGCTAGCCCTTATTTGGCCACTTCCTCCACCTGAGGCTGACTACCAAGGTCCAGCTATCCAAGTTTGGAAGTCCATCAAAAGCCCCCAGTGGCTACCATAATTAACCTGTGCAATTAAAACTAAACACCTCTTCCTAACACAAGGCATCCCCTCTTACCTTTATAAAATGCCATTTGCCTATGGGGCGAGTCTGTTTCCTCTCTATCCAGTCCTCCATCCCTACAAGATAAGTATCCCCTCTCTCCCGTACCCATTTCCCCTTCTCCCTGCCCCTTGTCTCTTATTCCCTAGGGGACAAATAAATCTCCTTTGTGCTGAGAACCTGGTTTAGGGGTGCCTTGGGCCAATACCGACCCTTCCCCCCTTCACACAGCGTCTTCCCAGAGGGCGAAGGCCAAGCTCCAGGGGAGGGAAGGCTGGGCTCCCGAAGCCGGGTGAGGAAGAGCCGAGCTCTAGGGGAGATGCAGGACAAGCTTGGGGGCGGGTGGACCCCCAGGGGCGGCGCTTACGGTCCTCAGGTTCCGCTTCTTCAGTCTGCGGGCACGCGTGCACTTCACGAAGGCTCGGGTCACCGCCCTCACGGCCAGCCGGTAGCAGCGATTCTTCCTTCCCTTAAAATGCTGGGCGAAGAAAAAGGAAGAAGGATGTCCGGAAAGCAGCGCACGCACCAGCCTGCCCGTGCCCCAGTGGGATCGCGGCGCGCGCACTCACCCGAGCATGTTTCAGCACCTCCTGAACGCGCCAAAAGCGGTCTGTGATGCGGTTCCGCAGCCAGAGCCGCGTCGTGAGGAATACCATGGCGTACTCCGGGCATCCGAGGAGCTGCCCTAAGCGTTTCCGGGTCAACGGTCAGAGGCCGGTGCGCGCGCGCGCACAGTCGTCCGGGGCGCTTCCGGGCTCGCTCCCTCAGTTCCGCTGTGCAGACCGTGGATCAAGGCTACTTACCCGGCTGGTGACGAAGTAGAGAGAGGGCGATCGCAGACGGAAATCAGATTTCCAGAAACGACCGAAGAACCTTCGGTGGTCTGCTCTTGTGTGGGCATCAGTTAGTTGTCCCTAAATGAGAGTGACAGACATTAAGTCAAGACAGCCCCATTATAAAGACAGCTAGTCTGTTTTTGTTTTGTTCTGTTTCCCCCCCCCCCCCCAAGACAGGGCTTCTCTGTGTAACAGCCCTGGCTGTCCTGGAACTCGCTTTGTAGATCAGGCTGGCCTTGAACTCCTAGAGATCTGCCTGCCTCTGCCTCCCGAGTGCGTGCACCTCCATGCCCTGCTAAGGCAGCTAAGTCTGTGTCGCAGAAACAACAAAGGTATCTACTGTCCTGAGGTGTGCCAGGGGATGAAGGCTCACCTCCTGTGAGTACAGAAAGCCTAGTCCCGGGGGATGGAGGGCTGAGCTCACAGCTGGGTGTGGTAGAGAACTAAACTAGGGAGATGAAGGTCCGGGTTTTTGTTCTTTTCACTTCTGAGTTCTCTGACCTCTTGGAACCCTGTTTTCAGGGGCTTACTTGAAGAGACACCTGAAAGACCCCCACTATACTTATTGCCTGTTTAAATTGTTCTTGCTAATTTGCCAAGGTCAAGTTATGAGAAAAGTACAGGAGGGAACCAGGTGCTGCTCTCATCCAACGCCAACCAGATATCTGTGGTCTGCAGCTTGGACCAAAGCAAGGTCAGCAGGACAGTGTCCAGTATGCTGAGAGAGTCATAACTGAATTCTTTGTATTCTTTGTGCCCAACCCGAATAACCAACTGTCCTTGGTTAACTACAACTGCTACATTTAGATGAAACAATGAAATCCCTGTAACCATGCTTCTGCTTCTGTAAGCCTGCTTCTTGCCACCCCAACCCTATATAAACTGCCTGAGTTTTAACCTCAGCACGCTCAGTCCCCCGAAAGACTGAAGCGTCCAGAGGTACCTGTGTAAACAATAAATAACCTCTTGCACTTGCATCCAGTGGTCTGGTCACGTCTCTTGGGGGCAAGGGCCTTCCCCCTGACAGGCTCCAAACTCTTGGGGGTCTTTCACACCCTTTCACCCGATCCCGTCAACCAATCAAAATTCCACATACACATTCAAATTTAAGGCAGCTCATTTTTGAGACACCCCCCACACTGATATGGGAGCTGCTTCTCTATTTCGAAATAAACTTTGCTTGCTTGCCCTTCAATGTTCCTTGCTTCCCATTCTTTTCAAGGGTGGGACAGGATCTGTGTGACACAAGGAACTATCAACTATTGGCTTGCGATGGTGTCCCAAGCACTCAAGAGGCAGGAGCAGGTACAACCAAGCCTCAAAAAACTAAAACAAACAGAAAAATTAATGTATTTGTGTTGAGGGGACTATGGTGGTAAGGCTGGGGAAAAAAATAATCTCAAGTGTTGCAGAAAGAAACACTTGAGGGAGGGAGAGGGGACTGGGATCAATATGTAAAATAAAAATAAATAGAAAGAAAGAAACACAAAGGGAAAGCAATTTGGCAAGTTGATTTCCTTTTGCAAAAAGGGTGCACTAGAGCCTGGCCCTAGCTAGTAAAAACACTTAAGCCTTGCCAAAATGGCCTCTTTTATCCCTGATGTAGGTGGTGATTGCTTTTCATCCCATTGGTGGGAGCTTGGCTTCACAATCTGTCAAGATTGGTTAATCCACCAAAAAGGGAAAGAGGAAGTTTCAGGAATATTGGCTTTTGTTAGGCTGGCCACCCTTGGGGGAAAAAAAGAAATGTTTCTTACAATTGAACAACTTCCCAGAGGCAGTTGGTTCTTTCCTACCATGAGGGTCCTAGGGATCAGACTCAGTCCTCAGGTTCTTGACCAGCTGAACATCTCTCCAGCCCTTAATTCTCTCTCTCTCTTCTTTTCTCCCTCTCTGTCTCTCTCTCTCTCTCTCTCTCTCTCTCTCTCTCTCTGTATAATATATTTAGTTTGTATGAGTGAGCACATGTAAGCACACCATAATATGCATATAGAGATAAGAGGACAACTTAAGGATTCTCCCCCACCAAGTGGATTCTGGGGCTTATCTAGGTTGTCAGGCTTGCTAGCAAGTGCCTTCATCCAGTGAGCCACCTCACTGGTTCCTAAAATAAATGTCTGAGGGCTTGAGAGAGGCCTTGGTGGTTAAAAGCACTTGTTGCTAATGCAAAGGACTCATGCTTACAAGCTTACAAGCATCCGTAACTTCAGTTCTAGGGCCTTCAACACGCTCTCCTAATTTCCTGGGCACCAGACATACATGTGGTTCACATAGGCAAAATAAATACATAATAAATAATTACAAAATAATGATAGGCGTGGTGACATACCCCTGTAATCCCAGCCCTCAGGAGGCAGAAACTGGATCTCTGTGAGTCCAAAACCAGCATGGTCTACAGAGCAAGTTCCAGGATGGGCTCCAAAGCTACAGAGAAACCCCATCTTGAAAAACAAACAAGCAAAAATGTCTTATCAGATCCCAGGGCTGAGATGGGGAAGTTGACATGAGTTCCCATCCCCACCAAGAAGCAAAGAAGTCATCTCCAACTAACAACTACTCCCAAAGGAAAAACTAGTTTTTTCTTTCTGTTTTTTTTTGGGGGGGGGCAGTTAAAGACAGAGTTTTTCTGTAGCTTTGAAGCTTGTCTTGGCACTCACTCCGTAGACAGGGCTAGCCTTGAACTCACAGATAGCCGCTTTTCACACACAAATAGCTCCTGAGTGTTGGGATTAAAGCTGGATAACCACCAGACCAAAACTGGTTCATTTCAAGGGATTCTCACTTTGTATACAAACCATGCTTTAAGGGCAGGCCCCATGCCCAGCAGTAGATGGTCAACAGAGAACAAATTCAAGTGCGTTTTGGGAGAGTTTTGTCTTATATTATTTTGTTTAGGCATATTTTGTCCTTTTGCTTATTATAGTTTCCAGTTTTGAGTTCTTATAGGTTTTGTTTGTTTATGTGTATCTTTGCATCTGTCTACTTTTCTCATGCCTTTTCCTGATTTCTTTCATTTGTTTGCTAGTATGTTCATTTGGTTTTGGTTTTTTGAGATAGTTTCTCTGTGTAGCTGGGTCTGTCCTGGAACTTGCTCTGTAGACCAGGTTGGTCTCAAGTGTTCATTTGATTTTATCCTCGTTTGATTTTTTTTCTCTTCACATAATTTTTTGTTGTTGTTGTTGATTCTTTGTGAATTTAACATCACGCACCCTAATCCCATTCATTTCCCAGTCCTTCCATATCCGCCCTCCACCCCGTAACCTTCCCCCAAAAGAAAATAGAATATAAAAAAATTTTTTTAAATAAATAAAAAAAGGCTTGTCATGGAAGTTGCAATGTGTCACGGTGTGTCACACAATATACTCTTTTGTCAAACCAACTGTACTTGAAATTGTTCGATGCAATGAGCCATTGGTCTGGTTCGAGGCCTCTGACTTCTGCTACACCATCAATACTGGACCCTCACTGAGAAGCCTGTTGGATATCCTAGTGTAGCCATGGAGATCCTGCAGCTTTGCTTCTGCAGGATTGGCCACCCGCTTTCCCCTGCCCATCCCACCTGGGCCAGCTCTCCATCACTAAGGCTACCAAAGCCAGCTCTAGTCATACAGCCAAGGTGCACGGGGTGGGGTGGGGTTGGGTGGGAGGATGGACGGATGCGGGCGCGGGACAGTTCTCCCAAGTGCTGAACTAGTCGAGGGGTGTGGCCAGTGAGGGGTTGGGCCAGCTCCATGTGGTATTCAGACACCAACACGACCTCAGATGGCGGCCCAAGGAGGTCTGCATGGTCTTGATGTGTCTGTGATGGTCACAGACATCAACACAGACTCATGCTGCAGAAGGGCTACAGTCCCAGACATGGCCCTGGGAGGCAGCACGGGCCCAGATATCACCATGGCCTCAGGTGGCAGTGCAGACTCTTACATCAGGCTGTTCCTCTCATCTCCTTCCAGTCTCCTCGAGTGCACAAACAGGCTCCGCCCCATCTCTCCGCCGCATACGGGCCAGATCCTGTGTGTGCAGGCTGGGCCTCGCAGCCTTTGGCTGTCTTTCACCCCGTCCTGTTTTGCTTTCTTTCTTATTTTCTTTTTTCTTTCTTCCTTCCTTTCTTCTCTTTTCTTTTTTTGGTTTTTCATGTGAGGGTTTCTCTGTGTAGCTTTGGAGCCTGTCCTGGAAGTATCTCTTGTAGACCAGGATGGTCTTGAACTCACAGAGATCTGCCTGTCTCTGCCTCCTGAGTACTGGGGTAAAAGATTGAAATCTTTGAGTTGGAGACCAACCTGGTCTACATAGTCAGTTTCAGGGCATCCAGGGAGACACAGTGTGATCTTTTCTCAAAATAAATATACAACTGATAGAAACAAATATGTGTATGTAGGCAGGGTTTCTCTGTGTCCTAGCAACTGCTTCCAAACAGCCACAAAGAGACTTATTACTAATTATAAATGCTTGGCTGATAGCTTAGGCTTATCTCCAGCCAGCTCTTACAACTTAAATTAATCCATTTCTATTCATATATGTGCTGCCCCAAGGCTCCTTTATCTCACATATGAACTTCCCATGTTACTTCTTCTGAGTCTGACTTGAAACTCTTGTGACTAACACCACCCTTTCTTCTTCCCAGCATTCTCTCTGCCCCCAAAATCCTGCCTAGCTACCGGCCAATCACCTTTTTACTAACAATAGGAGCAACACATCCTCACAGTGCACAGGACTGACCCTTCCACAGGATGTGAATGATTTACTGTCAGCAAATTTGATTTTTAGAATGACTTTATCTGCCTTTATTTCTATAAGAGAAGCTGGAAATAATAACATTATTATTGTTATTATTGTTATTTGTTTTATCAAGGCAGGATTTCTCTGCATAGCCCTGGCTGTCCTGGAACTTGCCCTGTAAACCAGTCTGGCCTTGAACTCACAGAGATCTGCCTGCCTCTGCCTCCTGAGTGCTGAGATTAAATGCGTGCACCACTATGCCAGACTGTGACAGGTGCTATCTTTTTATTTTATTTTATATATATATTAATGTGCTAACTGTATAATTTTATGCCAGGTGAGGGCATCAGATCCCACTATAGATGTTTGTGGGCCACCATGTGGTTGCTGGGAATTGAACTCAGAACCTCTGGAAGAGCAGCTGAGCAGGCAGATGCTCTCTTGAACAAGAGATTTAAGCAATACTATCCATGGCCTTAGCATTTTGAGGTGATGTAAATGTTCTGTCCCTCATCAAATTCAATGCTCACCAATTTCAATGTCCACTGGTGATCTTCTTACCTTCTTATCCCTTCCACATTTCCTTGGCATTCTACTTAAAGAGGAGTGTTCTGAGCTGAACTTAGTAATCTACATTTGTAACTCTAGTGCTCAGGAGTCCAAGCAGGAGGTTGGCAATGGGTTTCTGCCAGCCTGGACTACAAAATAAAACCATGTCTGAAAAAAAAAAAAAAAAAAAAAAAGAACAAACAGACAAAAACTTTGCTAAGTGTTGTAGTAAATGCCTCTAATACCAGCATTTGGGAGGCAGATGCAGCTGGATCCCTGTGAGTTAGGGGTTGGAATGGTCCCAGGACAGAGAAACCCTATCTCAAAAAAACAAAAATATAAACAAACAAACAAAAAGAGTGTCGCCATGCCCAGCTTCTTGAAGTTTTTCTCATGACAGAACAAAGAGCCCCAAATCAAGACACTTCTTGTGGTGTGGTGTAAATATCAGAGAGGTGTTTACAGCAAGATGGGGGCTCTCCTATAGGTCTCAGATGCTATCTGGTGATATTCTCAGCTTTTCAGCAGGTGGAAGCCACTGGTCTACTAAGTTAATAAATTCCAAAATGTTTCTATTAGTCACAGGCTGTTCTGACACAGAAGTGGGCGAGGAATGACTATCTGGGGGCTAAAACTAGCTTCAGATAAAGCAATCTGGACCTGCAACATTCCAGCCTCTCCATATCCACAGTTCTAATCAGTCAATTAATCTCTGAAGGCACACACAGCTTCTCCCCAGGAATTATCATTGACATATACATGCATTTTACTAAGCCACACCTACAACCTGAACTGTGTGTTCTAAAACTATGAACCAAATGTCTCTTCTTTCAAGTATTTTATCACAGAGATGAGAAAAAAACTAATATGAGATACAAATACAAACAGAACATTCCCACACACACACAGTGCAGTGCGGGTAAGGGGGAGCCCCCTTGGTGAACATGCAAAAGAGAAACCATGATGTTTTAATCAAATCTGTTGCCTAGACTTGACCCTTGGATGAGGCTGGAGCTGAGAAGTTATACTCCTGAGGACAGACATCAAGCCATCACTTTAACACCTTCTTCCCCCAAGAATTTGCAGATGATTTCTCTGCCTAGGAGGAGGATTCAGGAGTCTTCCTGTCCTGTTTTGGCCAAAAAGGCTCAGCCTCGCAGAAGGAAGGACAGGGAGAGTAGGGCTGTGACTCCTAGTGAAACAGCAGGTTAACTACACCACCACCAGCAGCAGCAGCCATGAATTTACTCCAGACACTGAGAGAGCAATAACAAAAAAAGAGAAAAACCCAACCCTTTAATAATGGTTTCTGGCTAACACCCAAAGAGACAACACCCTTGAACAGAAATTCTCTGCAGCTTATGTAGATTTTGAGCTGTAACATTTCACATACTCTGTCATCTGTAAATCTCATTTAGTTTCCAGCACTAAGACACACTTAGAGCATTTATACATGTTTTACAGAACCAGAAACTGCAAATGTGGCCATTTTGAACAAATAGGAGATTTACATAGCAAAATGTTGTCATGGTTATTTTTTAAACAAGCCAGTGTTGTTCTTGTTTATGTAGCTGTTAACTATGGATGTTGTACCTGCCTGACAGAATTGCAATCCTTTTGATATAACCTAATGGGTAGCAGTCTAGGTGAACAAATCTTTTTGTTGTTTTGTTGTTTTTCTGAGACAAGGGATCTCTGTGCATCAGTCCTCACTGTCCTGGAAATCGATCTGTAGAATAGCCTGGACTTGAACTCACAAAGATCACTGCCTCTGCCTCCCCCAGTGCTGGGACTAAAGGCGTGTGCCACCACTGCCCAGCCCTATGAACTAACTAATCTTAACAAAAAAATATCCTCCATAACCCTAAACTCTTAACTTTGTTAGAAGTACAGCTTTATTTCTCTTGTCTTTCTGTAGTTAAGGAAACCAGGCAGTGCCTTGGGCAGACACCCTATAGAGCCTGGGCCACTTCACCCCACTGTGTCCTCAAGGTAGAGTTGGCTCCTCGGCTCAGCAAAAGCTCTATGGTGCTGCTGTGACCACATTCCACAGCAAGGTGCAGAGGGGTCTTGTGGAGCCAGCCAGCAGCATTGACCTGTGCACCCCTGTCCAGGAGATGGCTGACAACTTCTACATGGCCTCCCCGAGCAGCATAGTGTAGGGGTGTGAGCCCCAGGGAGTCTTGAGAATCCACCTCAATGCCCTTGGCCACCAGCAGCTGTATAACAGGTAGGTATCCACCAGTGGCGGCCCTGTGGAGTGCAGAGCGGTTGTTCCTGTCCCTGATACTTGGGTTTGCCCCGTGGTCCAGCAGCACCTCAACATCCTGGAAAAGGAAAGGAAGAGGAGAGAAAGAGACTATCACCTTGGTCCAGAGAGGTGAGGCGTTGGGCCTGGTGTTTGCCTGACCAAAACACCTACAGCCCCCTTTTATTTTATTTTTTTAATTTTAGGAATGAATGGAATGGAATCTAAGGACCACCAAATTCTTAGATTGAATTCAACACTATGCAAAAGCTATTGCCCTCTGGGGTCCCCTGGGCCCCACTGATCTTGAGCTCCAGCCAAATACTTAAATAAATACTTGTTGCCAGGCACGGTGACCCACACCTTTAATCCCAGCACCCAGGAGGCAGAGGCTGGAGGATCTATGTGAGTTCAAAACCAAGTTGGTTCTACATAGAGAGCTTCAGGCCAGCCAAGGCTACATAGTGAGTTGCAGTCTCAGGAAAACTGAGCATTCACCTAATTCATTGCTACGGGCCACCAGAACAAAGTGGGATTGCCAGGTATGGGAGACCTCCTCAGTTCCCACTCAGTAGGGAAGTTTTATAGAGGGCCCAACTAGGAACATGCTCAGCTTCCAATACCTCCATCCTGCCCACCTGTGCTTCAACATCTTTCTACCTCGTTCCTCTCCTCCCCCAGAGCTTATGGAAGGAAGCAAGTGTAGAAGACGAAGCCCTTGGGCTTCTGGCACGGTCATTGTAGGTGAAGGCTGGACCTACTTGGTGGTGGCCTAGGCCAGCTGCCAGGCCAAGCGCGGTAGCTCCTGTGCTGTCCAGGGCATCCACCTTTGCCCCCAGTGCCAGGAGAAGCCTCAGGGCTGGTGCACTTCCAGCTACCGCTGACACCAGCAGGGCGCTGTCCAGGTCTACGCTGCCTGTAACGGTCAGCAGCTCTAGCACCGGCAGCTGCCTGCACGCAGCTGCCCAGTGAATGGCAGTCCAACCTCTTCTGTCTTTCACAGCAGGGCCAGAACCTGGAGCGGCCATAAGGCATGTAACCAGTAGCGTGCGGCCCAGCGCAGCTGCCCAGTGCAGGGGTGTGAGCCCGGTTTGAGAGCACGCCACTGCTGAGGCCCCACGCTGCAGCAATAGTTCTGCAAGTTTTGAGTGCCCGTGCCAGGCAGTCTCGTGCAGTGGTGTGCGCCCTTTGTGGTCAACTGCACCCACCAGGGACCCACGCTGCAACAGTAGGTGTACAAGAGGCACGTGGCCTCGCATCACAGCCAGATGGAGCGGAGTCCGACCTGTGTGATCCCTGTGGGGAGGGGAGGGGGCGAAAGAAGTCAGGAAGCTGCCTTGACGTTTAGCCACAGCCAGTGAAAGAGTCTGGAGCTAGTCATGAGGCTTACCTCTCCTCCACACTGGCACCTTGCCTCAGCAGCTGCATCACCAAGCTGGGAGCACCCCACCACACTGCCTGGAACAGGGTACTCCAGACCCGGGAGCTAAGAGGTTCCTCTGTCTTGTCTGCTGGAACCTCCTCCCAGACCAGCTCCATCCACTGTAATTCTTCCTCCAGCCTTCTGGAATCCATCTGGGGAGAGAGCACCTACCCTGACGCCTCCGACTGGTTCACCCTACCTGTCCCTTGTCACCATGTCACCACCCCGCCAGGGGGACTCAGATACACCTTACCCTTGACTCCCAGTTACCTCCCGAACTGGCAAAGGAGCTCTGTCTTCTGGTTGAGGGTTCTATTCTATTTCTAGCCTAGCTTCAATCTGGTGACCCTTCTCAGAATTATTTTCTTGCAGGGTGAGAGGTGGGTGGCTACTCCTGGGAGGCTAGATTGGAAGTTGAGAGTGGGCAAAGAGCTGCTGCTTCCTTTTGGGCCATGCTGAGGACACCTGACACTTGTTTATCTAGTAATTTGAAGGGAGTCTCTGCCTGCCAGGGAGCAGGCCCTGCTTGAGCACCCTTGCCTGCTAGCAGGCTACTAAAACTCTTGGCCACACTCCCAGAAACAAAGGCCAGGACAGGTTGGGAAGGACAAGAAGGAACATGCCCTGGGTGACAGCACCTCCTTCCTACCTTCCTCCAAGTAACACAAACTTCAATATGTTCTGACTTGCCCCCAGGCACCTTGACACCTACCTGCCCCCACCCCAACCTGGGACTGGAATGGACTCACCTCTCCTCCCAGTTTCAGACAGGGTTGGGGACTGGACACAATAAGGGTCTATCCGTCTATCCTTTCAGACAGATATATCTGTCTGTCTGTCTATTGTTGTTGTTTTTCAAGATAGGGTTTCTCTGTAGCTTTGGAGCCAGTCCTGGAACTCCCTGTGTAGATCAGGCTGGCTTTCAACTCACAGAGATCCGACTGCTTCTGCCTCCCAAGGACTGGGATTAAAGGCGTGCACCACCACTTCCTGGCTTCTATCCTTCTTTCTAATAACATGCCGTGAAAGAGAAAAAAGTTCACCATGGACATCTGAACTGTGGAGTTGGAAACTCCTGGAGAGGTTAAGACAGGCTAGTGCAGGCCTTGATAGGGGAAGAGATGTCTGGGTAGGGGGGGATGGAAGCAAGCCAGGATATTTCTGCAACAGGAGAGCTAAGTACTTATGTCTAGAAGTAGAAAGGGGGCCCTGGAGGAACAAGGCCTATCCCGGAAACTTGACTCTGGGCCTGAGATAGAGCTAGTTTAGAACTCACTATGTAACCAAACTGCCTCTGCCTTCCAAGCATTGGGATTAAATGTGTGACCATTTTGTCCAACTCTGATTCCTGCTTCTGGCCTCTATGGACATCTGCACTCATGTGAACATACCCACATATAGACACATACACTTAATTAAAAAAAAATATCAGTGGCTAGAGAGATGGCTCAGACATAATGATGCATACTTTTTGGTTGTATTGCTTTCAACACAGGGTTTCTTTCTTTCTTTGTTTTGTTTTGTTTTATTTTTCAAGACAGGATTTCTCTGTGGCTTTGGAGCCTGTCCTGGAACTAGCTCCTGTAGATCAGGCTGGGATTAAAGATATGTGCTACCACCGTCCAGCTTAGTACAGAGTTTCTTTGTGTATCCCTGGCTGTCCTAGAACTTGCTTTGTAGACCAAGTTGGCCTCAAACTCAGAGATCTACCTACATCTGCCTCCTGATTGCTAGGATTAAAGATGTGGGCCACTCAGAGAAACCCTGTCTCGGAAAAAAAAAAAAAAAAAAAAAAAAAAAAAAGAAAGAAATAAAAAAAAAAATGTGGGCCACTATGCCCTCTACTTTTAATCTCAACACTCGAGAGCCAGAGGCAGGTGGATCTATTTGAGTACAAGGCCAGCCTGGTCTACACATTGAGTTCTAGGCTAATCAGCAAGGGCAATAAGGTGAGGCCAAGACTAAAATAAATAAAAAAATTATATAATAAAACAAACATTTTTTTTAAAAAAAATACAAGTAAGGAGATGATTGACAACACTTAAAATTTTTTGAATGTGGCCAGGTGATGGTAGGACATGCCTTTAATCCCAGCACTCGGGAGGCAGAGGCAGATGAATCTCTGTGAGTTCAAGGCCAGCCTGGTGTACAGATCAAGTTCCTGGACAGCAAAGGCTATTACACAGAGAAATCCTGTTTCAAAAACAAAAAAAATTGGATGTATTTATATTACTATATGAGTGTGGACATTTTGCCCGAATACATGTATGTGTACTACATGTAGGTCTTGTGCCTATGGAGGCCAGAATTGGATACCAGACCCTCTGGAACTGTAGTTACAGAAGTTTGTGAGACAACATGTAGACTCTGGGAATGGACTCTGGGTCCTCTGCAACAGCAATAAGTACGTATAACCACTGAGCTGTGGGTGCTCATAAAGATGGCTGCACTCCATCTTGGCACATGGACAGAGAGTTCAAAAGTGTCTTCAGCAAGTCATAACACCTAAAGGTCAAAGGTGTGACTACTGTAGGATGTTTGGCTGTCTTAGTCTAATTAACAACAGACTTGAATCTGAGATGTGGCTACTCCTGACCTCAAGGCTAGGGAACAAGAAGTTGGAGCTAAGGTGTGGTTACTGAACCCTTAGAATAAGTGAGGGAGAAAAGTCTGTTTGTTCTGTATACATGATGCCGTGTTCCCCTTTTAAGATAAGGTATATAAGAATAATGAAAAATAAACTGGCATTTCAGTATTGACTGATCTGCCCTCCTGACTTTTATTCTGTGTCTGTCTTTTCTTTATCGTCTATAGCTAGCCTTTCCCTCATCCACACACCCCCCCCACTCAGGTACGAACTTCTTTCCTTCATCCACACCCCCCCCCACTCAGGTACAGACTTGGGGCCACTCAGCTGTTCCGACTGCAGCCCCACAAAGACCGCTCCCGACACTGAGCCAACTCTCCAGCCCCTGCAACACTTTCTTAAAAGATATTTTACTTTTATTATTTTAGGTGTGTGTGTGTGTGTGTGTGTGTGTGTGTGTAGATATATAAATATGTGGGCAGATGCCTGTGGAAATCAGAGGCATCAGATCCTTGTAGAGCTGGAGTTGTATGTGGTTGTGAGCTGCCTGAAGTGGGTGCTGGGAACCAAACATAGGTCTTTCTTTCTACAAGGACAGTATGCTCTCTGAATCTCCCAGCTATCAGCACCTCACCATATTTTTTTGCTCTAAATCCACTACCAAATACACAAACAACCTCTATCACATCTGGCTGTGCCAGGCATGCCTGTGAAAGCAAGTTCCAATCTAGGATTGGAAGATATTAAAATGAAATTTGGAAGTGACAAAGTCTAGTGGAAGAAATGGCATAGAAGGGAAAATATTAGCTCATAATCTGCATAAGTGTCAGTAGCTTATGTAAATAGGACTTATGGGTTTTTTTTTTTTTTTTTTGGTTGTTGTTTTGTTTTGTTTTATTTTATTTGGTTTTTAGAGACAGGGTTTCTCTGTGTAACAGCCTTGGCTATCCTGGAACTCACTTCACAGACTAGGCTAGCCTTGAACTCACAGAGATCCACCTGCCTCTGCCTCTGCCTCTGCCTCCCGAGAGCTGGGATTAAAGGTGTAAACCACCACTGCCTGGCTGTGAATAGGGTTTAAATGCTGTACATAGTGCACTTCCAGTGTGAAGGCATTTTAGTAACATTGGGGGTGGGGGAATGGCTGGAGTTTTCAGTGGATTATATACTCTCATCATCTGAAAAGCCTGTTGTGTACTTCCACGATGGATTGGATTCAGCACAGAGCAATTGCAGCTGCTGTTTATTAGATCTCCACTCTCTGCCAGGTACCACAGTGAGCACTAACTGCACAACCCTGTGCCATCCTCTGAGCCACACCACAACATGAAGTCACCTGGTGTCGTCATCTTATACCGACACCAAGGAGGGGCCTAGTTGTTAGATAAGCAGGGGCTAGGGCTGGGAAATGAGTGGATGCTTTGCCCATAGATGGCAGCTCTTGATAGGGCATCTGTCATAAGCCAAGATCTGTGAAATAAAGCCATTGTTTGGGAGAACTGGAAGCTGGGAAAGGGTGGGCTGGGAGGAAGGAGGGCCCTGGTGCTCAGATAGGGACAGCGTGTAAGACCTAACCAGGGGACACAGGAGCTGCCTGCATTTGCCTGGCAAGGAGGCACAGCAAGGTAGTGGGGGGGGGGGAGGCTGTGGCAGGGGTGTATCCCCGGGGATTGATACTTAGTGGAGGACAGTCCACTGTCTGGTGGCTAGGATCTAATGTGAACCGAACCCAGGGAGCGTAAAGGATCTGTAGTCTAAGCCTGGGGTGGGGAGGGTCAGTCCAGCTGCCTGCCACTGCTACCTTAGGGGAAACATCCTTCAAGGCCCAGTGCTAGGACATGAGTGACCAGCAGGAAAGGGAGACGGAAGAGGATGAAGGAGGCGCTTCAGACACAGCACCCATGCTACCCCGGAGAAGGCCTACTGACTACCATGTCCCAGTCCTGCTATGCCCACGGTGGCCTATGCAGGCCACACAAGACCTCAGGACTCTGTTGCTGCCTGGCCGGGCCCTGGTTGGGTTCCTGTTCCATCTGCTGCTACCTGGGACAGTCTTCTTGCTGGTGTTGCTGCCAGCTGCTGCCATTGTCTACCTGGGATTCCTGTGCCACTCGAGGGTGAGCAGCATTGGCTAAGTCCCCGGGGAGTGGGAGTCCCCTGCAGGTTCAAGTCCCCGAGATTGAAGGTGAATCTGCCCCCTCTGTATGCAGAGACATATGTGTCCTCTTCTGCCAACACCCTGCCAGCTGCAGACAAAGAAGAGCTTTTGTTTGTTACTCGGGGAACAGCTGTCTTGCCTCCCCCCTTCCCCCCCCCCCCGCCCCGGGCCTCGTAGCTTTGTACCAGGAGGCACCAAGGTTGAAGTGGAGATAGGAAAAAATAATTGTCAAATTCCACCTGTACTCAGTGCCTCGTCACTCCTCACACCCACACACATACCCAAACCCTCTTGATCTGGGCTGGGCTTCCCCACCTGCAGAGGGGAGCTATGGCTCCACCTTATACACAGATGGTCCCTATATTCCTTTCTGTGGCTTCTGGTGTGGGAGAGAGAAGACGCTAGCCGCTGACAGTGCCGGTGGAGCTCAACATCAGTTGCCAACACAGGTAAGGGCCGTGAGAAAGAGCACAGATGGGGACAGGATAACGGGGTTGGGAGAGCCAGGCAAGTTCTCTGGGCCTTTCCTTCAGGAACCCGTTATCTGGACCATTTACAGTCTGGGTTCCAGGTGTCGCAAAAGGCTTCAACACTGCTTGGCTCAAAGCATTCGCAACTCAGGCCAACTCTCTTGGCTGTGTTTTTGCAAGTAAGTCGTACACGTAGGTGGTCTCACTTCTCTCTCCAGGCCCCAACTCAAGGCCTTCCAGACCCATCCTTCTTCTCTCTGGACTCCGCCCCAATCTCTTGGCCCTGGTTCTCCACCAGGTCCTTCCTCAGGGCTGCACCATTCTGGAACTGCCCCGTCCGACCACACGCCTCCACTGTCCACAGGTTCATCCAGCCCCGGGTCCACGATGCAGAGCACTGCTCTCGGACCGCGGCTCTGCAACGCTCATTGTATTCGGATTCCTCTCCCTGCCGCCGCTTCTGGTGCTGGCCTCGGCCGCCCGCTCCCTCCTGGTCCGGCGACTGCGCCCTGTGCTGCCGACCACGGCGGGGACCCCCGAGCCGCACTGCCAGCCGAGATGCAGCGAAGAGGGACTGTCGGGCGCCCGCCCTGACGAAGAGAAACAACAACTTTGTGCCTGTGTCTGATGCCTCTCAGAGGCATCTCCATATCCAAAGCCTGTGCGCTCTGGGCTCAGTGCTCGAAGTCGCCGGGAGATGGCGCTCTGCTCCCTCACAAAACCAATGCCCTCCTCTCCCACCTGTGGTCAGCAGCCAGCTTTGCAGATATCTGGATATCTATGTACCCCCCCAAAACAAAACAAAACAAAAACACGCTAGTTCTAGAAGCTCCAGTGTGGCCAGTAGCAAACCAGATTTCATAACTCATCGTGAGACTCAGGAGTCAGCTTGAGTCCCAAGGTCAGCCCATGACCCCGGACAAGGGTCAACTGGGTCTATGGTCAAGCTATTACCAGGTCAGGTTCAGCTTTTGTCCACACTTAGTGTGAGACTAGGATCTAGGATGAGTGGCTCAGCGTAAATTCAGGGTCAGCGCTCTGCTTGTCTTTTAAAAGTAGTTTTTTTACGTTCATTGGTGTCTTGACAGCAAGTATATCTGTGTAAGGGTGTCACAAGCCCTGGAACTGAAGTTACAAACAGGACCCTATACCGTGGGTCCTGGGAATTGAACACAAGTCGTCTAGAAGAGCAGACAGTTGCTCTTAGCCACTGAGCCATCTCTCCAGCTCCCAGTACCCAGCTTGTATTCTGGGTCAGGTATCAATGTGTATCCAGACCTGGAGCTTAACCTCTGACCCGGCAGCCTAATAAGAGCTCAATTTACAATGTGGGTACCTTTGCGTTTGGCATGCTACAGCAGTACTAACAAGTTACTGTGTACAGATAAATTATCATCCTCCCTGTCTCCTTCCTCCTCTTCTCCCTCCTTCTCTCTCTCCTCCTTTTCCTCCTCCTCCCAGGTTCTCATAATACTAGAACTTAAATATTTTATTTATTTTTGATTTTGAGTAGTATGGAATTCCAAGTTTTTTGTTTTGTTTTGGTTTTTTTGTTTGTTTGTTTTGAGACAGCGTTTCTCTGTGTAGCCCTGCTTCCTGGAACTCGATCTGTAGATCAGGCTGGCCTAGAACTCACAGAGATCCTCCTGTCTCTGCCTTCCGAGTGCTGGGTTTAAAGGCATGAGCCTGGCTGGAATTCCAAGCCTTATACATGTTAGGCAAGTCTTTACCACTGAGCTATAGCCTCATGTTTTTTAGTTTTTGTTTGTTTGTTTTGAGACATGATTTTTTCTGTGCAGCCCTGGCTGTCCTGGAACTCACTCTTGTAAACCAGGCTGGTCTCCAACTGAGAGATCTGTCTGCCTCTGCTTCCGGAGTGCTGCAATTAAAGGCAAGCATGCACCACCACACCCAGCCAATAACTTTTTTTTTTTTAATTGGGGGTTTTTTTTTGTTTGTTTTGCTTTGGTTTTTTTTTTTTTTTTTTTTTTTTTTTTTGGACAGGGTTTCAGCACTGGCTGTGATCTGTAGACCAGGCTGGCCTCAAACTCACAGAGATCCACCTGTTTCTGACTCCCAAGTGCTGGTGTTAAAGACATGTGCCACTACTGCTCAGCTATTTTTTTTTTTTTTTTTTTAGCTTTTTATCGACTCTTTGTGGATTTCACATCATACACCCCAGTCCCGCTCATTTCCCCGTCCTTTTGTGTCCTCCCCCTCAATAAAATAAAATTTAAAAGAAAAAATAAAATAACTCATCATGGAAGCTGTAGTGCGTCACGGTGAGTCATACCCTTTAGTCCATACATCTTTGCTTGCAAGCATTCTCTGCAGTGAGTCACTGGTCTCGTTCCAGGCCTCTGGCTTCTGCTACAGTGTTCATACTGTGTCCTCACGGGGACACCTCGTGGACTTCCCGTTGTTGCCTTGTGTCATGGAGAGCCTGCAGCTTTGGATCCTTCACATGCTCCAGCAGTTTGTAGAAGGGGTGGATGTCAGGATGGGTCAACTTAAAAGCCCTGGTTCTGGGCCTGGATGTTAGCTGGGCTGGTCAGCCTGTCAGCTTTCCCTCGTCCTCACCACCAAGTCACCCTCTCCAGCACTGCCCCAGCTAGGCAGCAAGAGGGAGGGCCAGTTCTCTTGCGTTCATGCCCTCAGGGCCGGCCTGTCCACACCCACACCACAAGAGCCAGCTCTACTGTGCAGCCAGGCCAGTTGCAGGGCCTCCTGAGGGCTGCAGCTGGTGAGGGTCAGGGCCAGCTCTCTCACTTTCCTGCTGCAGGCGGTGAGGGGGGGGGAGGCAGAGGGGAAGGACATCTTTCCCTCTCCCGTGCTACCACATGCCAAGCGAAGTGGCAATGGGACCGACTCTCCTGCTTTCACACCTTCAGGGCTGGCTCACTTGCATCAGCCCCTGACGACGACGGGGTCAGCTCTGCTGGGCTGCGCAGGTGAGGTGCCGGGCGGGCGGGCGGGTGGGCACCACACTCTCTAATGCTGCAGCCAGGGCCAGCTCTCCTCCTCTCATGCCGTAGGCGAGAAGGGCATCTTCCCCTCTCCTTCCCACATAGCAGCCGAGGGAACAGGGGGGCCAGCTCTCCCCACCGTGTCGGCCCCCAGACAAGAGGGCCAGCTCTCCTGCTCTCGTGCCCTTGGGGCTGCTAACAGGGTCAGCTCTACTGCGCTACCAAGGGAGGTGCAGGACCCACTCTCCCTGGGAGGGAAAAGGCCAACCCTGTGCAGCTTTTGAATATTAACACGGTCCCAGGCGGCAGTCCAGACCGGAGACATACACATGGCCTTTGGTGGCGACATGGGCCAAGGACACAACACAGATCCGTGCTGCTGCATAGTCATGGACCCAGACGTGGCCTCCACCACAGCATGAGCTGGGACTTCACTGTGGTCTCAGGTGGCTTTGAAGGCTGCTCACATCAGGCTGTTTCTCTCCACCATCGTGTCTTCAGATCCACCTCTCATCATAATGCTCAAACCGGTTTTCTCTTTCTTTCCCATCTTTCTGCCCCATACTTACACATCTTAGTGGCTTGTGCTGTGGATGAGCCATGAGTTGGGTGGGGTCTCTAGGTGTCTTCTTTCTGTCCACTTCGTGGTGGTAGGCAGAGCCTCTGGGTGTCATCAGGTGTTTGTCCAACCCAAAGCTTCCAAAGGAAATAAATTTCTGGCCAGTTAGACATAGCTCAGTAAGACTGTAGTCCAGTCTCAGGGTTGAACCACCACCATAGCCAACGGGACAGATTAGCAGACAGGCCAGTGATGAGTAAATACAGCAGGACATGTCCCGTCAGTTGTGGGCCTCCATTCTACAGGTACAGCTCCCCTTCCTGGGCTAAGCATGCAGCTGTGGGAGTCACAGCAACTTATATAGTGGTCAGTTTTCTCAAAGGAAGATGGCATAGGCCCACAAGCACTTGTGTTACTGGTTCAGCTGATGGGCAGTGTAATTCACCTTTCCCAAGGAGCAAGAACAGCAACCACTTTTGCATCTCCAGTTTTGCCTAATTTCATAGGACACAAAATGCTCGTCTTCCATTTTTCCACCACATATTTGCTTGCTTCTTTCTCTCCTATCACCCACCGTCTACTTATTCACTTCCCACAGCTCCTAGCTGGGCTCAGGTGTAGTCTTTGTGCCTCCCGGAGTGTTGGGTGGTACGGGTGGCCTGGCTGGCTTCAGCCCACAGATTTACTTTAAAAAGTTTATGTGTAGACCAGGCTGACCTTGAACTCAGGGGTCTGCCACCCAGTGCTGGGATTAAAGGCTAAGCCTTGAGCATTTTAGACATTCGGCTGCCTCTACCACTGAATGATCCCTCCAAGTCCCCTCCCCAAAGCCCTGCTAGTCTATCATGCCAGCCTGTATCTGTGGTGATTGTAAGGTGCTGTCCTGGTTAGTTTTTTTTTTTTTTTTTTTTTTTTTTTTTTGTCAGTTTGATACAAGACAGTGTTTTTTTGTGAAGAGCAAATCTCAGTTGGCCTGTGGTTAAGACTGTGGGACATCTTCTTGATTAATAATTGATGTAGGACGGTCAAGATCACCTTGAACGGTGCCACTATAGACACATGGTTCTGAGTTGTATAAGAAAGCAGTCTGAGCAAGCCATGAGGAACAATCCGGTAAGCAGTGTTCTGCCGTGGCCTCTGCTGCAGTTCCTGCCTCCAGGGTCCTACCTTGAGTTCCTGCCCTGATTTCATTCATTGACCTGAGAACTGTAAGATGAAATAAACCCTTTATTCCCCACGTTGCTTTTGGCCGTGATGTTTTCTCACAGCGATAGAAACCTAAGGCAGGCACTAACTTTAGGATAGTTTCTGCCAGAGACAAAGAAAGCAGTTAGACTAGGCCCCTTTTAGGATACTAGTATCATGGCCTTTGATATAGCTTACTCACTCTTTCCCCCATGTTCAGAAAACTCACTTTTCTATCTGTTCCCTTCAATATTCTGGTTGCTTCTTAATGGGAAATGTCATTCTGTAAATATGTTTCTCATATTGGTTAATGAATAAAACACTGTTGGCCAATAGGAAAGCAAGATAGGCAGGACTAGGAGACAAGGAGGATTCAGGGAGAGGTGGGAGGAGATTCAACAAGTAGGACCAAGGGAACAGAGGTCCTGACCCTCTCTCCGGTAAGATAAGACCACGTGGAAATACTTAGATTAATAGAAATGGGTTAATATTTAAGACAGAGCTAGCCAATAAGAAATGCTAGTAACAGGCCAACAGCTTTATATCTAATACAGCATCTCTGTGTGTTATTTAGGGCTGGTGTGGCAAAGGGACCAGACTGGCAGGAATACAACTTGTAACAAAATGGTGCCCAACCTGGGGCATGAGAACTTTCACTTAAAACTCCACAAAAGCTTTAAAAGGGTTTTTAAAAACAAAAGAACAGAGACAAGCAAGGCTTCTTGGTACAGCATTTTTCTCGGTTGGGCTCTGTTTTGCTAGAGACAAGCAAATATTTGTACGACTCCTTTAAGGGAAGTTTCCTGACTCAGCATAGTGGCCAAAAACCGTAAGGCTTTTAAAGAGCTCTGTTAACAACTTAATGGTGTGTAGGAGAGCTGGCAATGGCAGTGACCACATCTCCAAGCTGGCAGCATG